CAGTCGCATTTTACTTCCAGTTTGTACCAGATTTAAAATCTCCCCGTTTGGAGCAGGTTTCTATTTATATTTCCCGCACCTGCTTTTACTTTGTTTATTTACCGCACTTGCTTTTACTTTGTTTATTTTCCGCACCTGCTTTTACTTTTTCTATTTTCCGCACCTGCTTTTACTTTGTTTATTTCCCACACCTACTTTTACTTTGTTTATTTTCTGCACTACTTTTACTTTGTTTATTTCCCGCACCGCACTTTAAATTATTTACTTTCTCGCATGATTTATTTTAACATGTCTGTTTATATTCCCATGTCAGGCTGAACCTTACTGGGCTAGAATGTAAGGAATCTAGTTAGATCGATATTCCAACTAATGTGTCAATAGAAATGCTTATGGGCTATTTTGATTTTTAATACGAGTTTTCTGTACTTTATTATTGTTGGGTAAGATCGAAAGTCGTCCAACCCTTTGTTAAACTCGGTTAGTTCGAACTGGTCAAAGGAAGCGAAAGCGCTTTGTCTGGTTAGTTAGCGATTTTTATTATCAAAGAAATCAATTTTGAAACTATTTTCGGACGCGTTTATAGGGTTAAAGTTAGGTCCCCTTTTTATTAGAAATTCCAGATCAAAATACTTTCTAACTTGGTCAAGTACTTTATTTCTTAAAAATAGGTTTATTACTTTAACACAATGTGCACCTTTTTATAAGTGACGATAAGAAGGTCTGATTAGAGAGTAAACTCGGTTCTGATTACGCGAAAGCGACAGTTCCTGTTAAATTAGTTCTTTTCTTTAGTAGAAAATATTACCCTATAAATAGTTTTATTCCGAAGCATTGCGAATATCATCTGACTATGTGAATTACATTCAATCCTGCTTTTATATCTGAAGTTTATTTCTCTGCACTTTACTTTCTTGCATGCTCAATTCCCTGTTTAATATTGACTTATCTAAACACCGTAACAATAGGAAACGATAGATTGACGATTGGTCTCTGTGGATCGATAATCTTTTATATTACTCTGACGCGATTTGTACACTTGCGAATACACCACATCAAAAGTATTGATATTTCGTCCACACCTTCTTACACAACATAAGTTCCTACCTAATATGATGAAGTTGGTGGGGATGTTGTCAACGTTATTCGAATCGATCACGAAGAAGGCATTTGGGAAAATTAACAAGTACATAATTTATTCTTTATTCATAATATATTCATGTATGTTATAGTTTCCAAGTATTTTTGATAACAAGTACAATTATTTGAAATTATAGGTCTTTAGAGTCAAGACACCAAGAGACAAGACACCAAGAGAAAAGACACTAAAACACCAAGTTACAATTATGTGATGTTATGTAATGTGTAAATTGTAGATTGTCTGTTCTGATAAATTGTATGATGTTTGTTATGGTACAATTGAATATGATATAATTATATGATATTATGAATATGATACAATTAATATTATTCAGATAACTTTATCACAAATGTGAGTTTTATTTTCTGCTGTGATATGGTGAACAATAAAACAGGTTTAAAAAAATGGGATTAATTATAAAAGCGGGATAATACCTGTTAATTATGAAGCAAAATTAACAATAATTATAGTCATAACCGTTATAATATCTTGTGCACTGTCCAGAAAAAAATAAATCAAAACAGCACATCTGGGAATCGGACCCAAAACCATTAAATATATCACAACGTTCTTTGGAAAATCGTTGTGATAAGGAGCACACTTTCCAGTTTATTACAACGGCTATTGAGTCGTGATTGTAAGTATCATATATTCAACAATACTCTACATAACAACACCAGGGCCCGCATTGTTATATATCTTTCTCAACCGTTATTAATTGAGTTTTCCGTAGTAGCGATCATACCTTGTAGTATATGCCTATTATTATTGAATGTGATTTCTCATCCCTTCTATTTGAATGTTCCCTTTACATGGGCATCATGCAGATATTCAACAGTAGCATTGGGTGAAGTAAGTGGGAGATAGCTCTTAGAGTGACTCCCAATAGTTGTCATTTATTAGTAGGGTCTTGCTCTTATTCATATAACATCGAGTTGGGGACGTTCCTATTTTTAATTTCTTACTTTTTTTTTGTTGGAGTTTTCTAATTTTGTTTTGCTGAGATCTCAAAGTGTTGGGATTAGATATATTAACTCATTCTATTATGTTATAAGAGTTGAAATGGATTTTATGAGACTAAATGTTGTGAATTCCATGTGTTTTAAATATATTATTTTGTTGTAATTTCGCTGTGAAATATCATATGAGTTAGATGTCGTGTATACGTCCCAGGTACATATCAGATGAGTTGGATGTTGTGTAAACATCCTAAGTGAAATTTGTGTTGCATGATTATTAGATTAAGCGCTACAAGATCAACAATGTTGTTTGTTGAGAATGTGTGACATCAAAAATATCTGATTTATTTATATTTATGCATTGGGAAAATAGGGTATTATATTGTGCATGAGGTGGTGTCACCCTACACTCTACAACAGAATGGAACTACATAAAGGAAGAATCGAACCATCATGAATATGTAATAATTATGTTGAAAGTCAAATATTTACCTAAAGAGTTTTAAGGTGGAGTTGTGTTGGCTGCAACATACATTTTGAACAGATGTTCGACGGAGAAGCTATAAGGAATTACGTCAGAAGAATGTTGGTCTGGTGTGAAGCGTAGCTTGAGTCATATGAAATTATTTGTATCTATAGCACGTAGACACGTGCCATATCAATTGAGAAGAAAACTTAATGACAAGTCAAGTCAAATTATCCTAATAGGATATCATTCGACTGGAGGTTACAAGTTGTTTGATCCATTGAACAAGCAAATAATGATCAACAGGGATGTAATCATAGATGAGCTTAAGGAATGTGATAGGACTGCAAATGTAAACAAATATTCAGTGAGAATCTTTTGTAAAAAAACAGCCATTAAAGTTGAAAGAGAAGAAGTTCGACAAGAAGAAGTGAGAGGTGAAGCAAGCCCAAGCAACATAGTAACACTATCATGTATGGTGAACTTGTTCGAAGAAATTACAGGAAAGGATCATGGAGAAATTATCATGAAGATCGACAACATATCAACTATCAATCTAGCGAAGAACCCAATAAAATATGGCAGAAGCAAGCACATCGAAATGAGATTCTATCATCTTTGAGAGCAGATAGCAGAATGGAAGATGAACTTGGAACAATACATAATTGAGAATTAGATTGTTGAATTAATGACAAAGGGAGTTCATGTCGAAGTGTTCCGAAGACTAAGAGCTATGATGAACGTAGATAGCTTAAACATAATGAATTAGGTGGTGTATTGAGATTTTAATCCCTTGTGTCAAAGCATCATGTTGCTCGATAAAACAAGGGTGTGTCGAACATAGCCTAGTGCGTGTGTCGAGTTGCATGTCAAAGTTGTAGTATGTCGAAGTGTCAAAGCAGTTAGCTTTACACAGAATTTTGACTTAAGTCTAAAATAATTATTTTGGGGTTTTATAGTTTTGAGATTTGACTTAGGGAGCAAGCAAACTCAATTATAAATAGAGAGAGTAAACCTTATTTTTGTAATCACGCATAACTTGTATTCACAGAATTTGCAGTTACAAGTGAATAAGATTTTCCACAGTTTGTGGACAGAGAGTTACTCTGTAGAAATTACCATCTTCATCTCAATTTTGTCAAATCCTAATTTTTTGTCTTCCTTAATTTTTCATTGTTATTGTGTATTGATAATAATCTTGTTCATCAAGATTGATAGAATTTCTCCATAGGTTTGGTGAGTTTTCAACAATTTTATATTCTCAAGACCATTTCTAGAATTATTAACTCAGAATAGTCTTGGTCTATAAAATTATCATTAGGGATGAAAATAGAATGAGTCGAGTTAGGTTTTGTCAAGTCTAAGTCTGACCTGTTAAAAAATTCAAAGCTTAAGTATGACATATGATTTATCATAGACTTATTTTTTGACCTGAGTCTGACATTTACGAATGTCTGATTAGCCTCTTAAAAAGCATTTTTTTATAATAAGTCTTAAAACCTATATCATTTGAAGATATGTAAATTAACAATTCAACTAATCTTTAAATATATTAGAGAATCAAAAGTACAACGAGATTAAATATTTATTTACATTGACTTAAATTACATAGTACCATAAGTTTCGTGAGATTATTTTTTTGAGAGAACTTATGAAAACAACTTAGGACAATATTCATAAGGTTTTTTCAATTTATTTTCACAAATTCTTCAAAGATAACTAAACTTTACTTTTGTATTTTAATGTAAAGTAAAAAAAAAAAAAAATTTATTCATATTTATTAAAATAAACCGACCCGATAAACTTAAAAGATTTTTTTTATGATATGTGAGTTAACCTATCTAACCAATAAATTTATTAAAAAAATTAAACTTTTCTATTTTAAAAAAAAAATTTGACCTAACCGTAATGTGTGTAGGCTGGACCATATAATCCTATTAGTTAGCATTGCCTATTTCCTCCCCTAATTTTCATTCAGTATGTTTGTCTCTAAATAATGGACATATAGAAATGCTGTAAAATATCTAAACTAAAAGAGGAGAAAAAGATAAATTAAGAAAACTAAAAGAAAATTATTTGATTTTTTATATCTTATATCTTATATTCCTCAACCACAATGCCTAAATTATACTAGTATAAAAAGATTTAAAATTTTAAACGCCCATTAAACAATAAATATTATAAAAGTCTAATTAATTTCTTGCTGTTAATAGATTTACCTAAACATTGTCTTCAAAGTTTTGAAATTACATTCAAAATAGTAACCAAACCCAGAATAATATAGCATTCACTGGTACAAATAAAAATATAACTTGTAAAAAAAAAACCATCCTAAGAAACAACTTAATAGAGTCGTATAAAGTTAATTGAGCAATACAATAATCTAAGGTTTATTTAAATTTGATAAATTTAATGCAAAATAACTTTGTCAATTGCACTAATCTAACTTGATAAGAGTTGGAATGTGATATTCTTCAAGTGGTTCACCATCTAAGCCCTGGAAAAATAAATATAATTAACATAACAGCCTGTAGATTTTTCAAATTAAATCAAATAGTAACATATTATTAGCATGTATTAAAATGTTTCTCACCTGTAATGTTGCTGTAATAAGATATGCCTGTTCTATAGTTGTAACACTAACGTCAATTATTTCAATGCGTGAATCATTCAAATCTTCAATTAATTTCATAATCCTTCCTCTCTTGTTCACAAGTATCATCTTAACCCATATCTTATTCTTATCAACCTTTGCCACCCCAATCTCTTCCTGTAGAAAAATAATTATAAACTATATAAATATACAGCCACTTTTCATTTGAGACGTATCAGGATTTTGATACGTGTCAACGTATCAGTGTTGTGTTTGGTGTCTAAATATATGTGTAAGTGCGAATGCAAATAAATGAAATTTATAAAACCTGTATGCCCCAATTTTTCATCTCTTCTTCAGCAGCGGCAGCAGAAGAATCACTTATTTTTGTCTCATCTTTTTTCTCTTTTGTTCCTCCCATATCATGAAGCTCATCCGTGAGACTCTTAACTTCATTTTGCAATTTTTGCATGTAAGTGATAGCATCTTCAATAATGCTTGCTTTGTTCATCTAAAATTGAATAAGTATACATTAAATAAATTGACATATATTTTAATGGTTAATTCAATATTGAATTGATTTTAAATGATAAAGTATTAAAATTAAAAGTTAAGTGGTTAATTACATTTGTGATGTTTGGTACTAAAGAGCGAAGCATCAAGAGTCTGCTACTGAGCTTCTCCCTCCTTTTTCTTTCTGTTTCAAGGTTCTTTGATGTGTAGACATGTGTATCATCATCATCATAGTGGTTAATCTTTCTCAATTTTCCCCTATGGTTGCAATTTTCACCATTGAAACCTAAATCCTCTATAGACACATATAGTCTATGGTCATTTCCTGGTTCCATTGTAGACGTTGGAAATTGAGAAACAAGGTATCTTTAAATGTGAGAGAGAGAGAGAGTGTATAAACAAAGTTTTGGATTTTAGAAGATGTATATATATAATTGATTGTAACAAAAGCATCATGTGTTTTGAGAGGTGTTTTCTATGGTTCCAACTTCCAAGTTAATCAATGTGTTTCTTATGTGTGAGAGAGAGAAGAATATATTCCTCATTGTTTTTTTCATGTTTGAATCTTGATAACTAATTTGACTGTTGTGATTTACAAAATCTTCGTTCTGTTAAAAAATGCAAGGTGAGGTCAATTTATTTCTTTTTCAACAAAAATTAAATCATAAATTATTCTACTTTTTTTTTCTTCTTTCTTGTTAATGATTGTGTGTAAGGAGTTTGGAAGTTAGGTTTGTTAGAGGAGATATTTGATGGCGTCTCCTTCTGATTTTGTTCCCAAATATTTGACAGGAAGATATGATTTAAGCCTAAGTTGTCATGTGGTGTACCCGCTGTCCCAAGGACAACATTTTGATGCTATCTGTAAGTGGTTTAGATCTTTTCTGTTTTAGTTTTAACGTCTGTTGGGATTTATTTTGTAAATCTTTTTAAGAAATTCCTTCATGTTATAACTTAATTATCTAAGAAAGCAATAAACTTAATTATGCAATTCTAATCAAAATTAAAATAGAGAGAAGAAGAAGAAGATGGTACGCCGAATGTATAATGGTTCAGTTATTCGTCTTCGTTATGTTTACTCCACTCTCTAATGGTTGCCTATTAAAATTTTGTTGTTCCACTATAATTTTGACAAATATTATGGGGATGTTCGGTACAATCTCAATTCAAATAATGTTGAAAATATAGAATCTTAGACTTGAATCCTCGTTGACTTGCCCACAGTTTTTGACACCAAATCTTACTAAATCTTTACTCGAAATATACCTAAATCTTCCAACTCCAAGAATGTTGCTCTAAATCTCTGTTATGCAACGATCTTTACTCGATCTTATCGGTATTTTGAGTCTTGGCTTGTTTGAAGATTGAGAAGAATTTCCATTTTGTTCGTAGGCTTTCACACAACTCTGCAAAAGTTATTCTGGAGAGAAAAACCTCCTTCTTTTCCACTGGATTTGTCAACCCCAATCACAACTACACACAATTTGAAAACCCTAGAAATCCTCAAGAAATCTACAAAGTAAACGTTAATCGTAAAAATAAAATCCTCCTTACAGATCTCACACCATAAAATCAGAGCTACATCCAAACGAAAGTGGATGAATAAAGTGGTTTAAAATGAAATATTTCGTTTGCAAAACAAGAAGATTCAAAATTCTTTTGAAATTTGAGAGAACAAATGTGTTGTGAATTCTAAATCAAAAGTGGGTGTGTGTTTTTTTAACATTGCGAATGGTTTTTGAGAAAATGGGTTTTATATGTGCTTGAGATCTAACACAAAAATAAAAGAAAAATGCTATTTGATTCAATTCAAAAGCAAAAAATATGAGTTAAGTTAGGAGATTAAGTGATTTGAATCAAGATCCGAGAACCAAGAAAAATAAACTCTATGATTCGAGTCATGCTTTTTTATGATTCGAGTCATGAAAGCTTCTGCTTCGAATCACATTTACAAAACCAATTTTTAAAATATGCAAATTGTGTCTAATTCGAGTATGCAAATCTATGATTTGAATCAAACCTCTATGATTCGAGTCGTGGATGTTGTGATTCGAATCATGACAACATGAGAACGATTTCTAGACATTATGTAATACTGAATCGAGTCATGCAAGTTTGAAATTCGAATCATACTTCCAACCTTATAATGACTTGAATCATTCTCAAATGTGTTTCTTGATTAAAAAATCAACAAATTAACTAAAGACATATTGCTTTGGCTATAATCAGATAGTTTAATTTATGCATTACGTAAAAACAAATTAAGAACTCAATCCTAAGGTGTGATATCATGCGAGGAGACTCAATAGCGATGTAAGCAAAACTAAAATATAAAAGACAAGAAATAAAAACATAAATCCTTAAATGCAACTTTATACTAGAGTTACAATGCCACAATGAAACAATGTAGCCGCATATAAACTCGATATAGGAGGATTGAGAAAAAACATATGAAAACGTATGTGTCGACACATACTGAATTGAATTTTGATTTTTGAAGATAAAGCATGTTATGTGTCGATGCATGGAGTTATGTATCGATGCATAAAGGTTGAAAATTGTATTCCAAGAGCATCAACAAGTTATGAGTCGATGCATGACATGGATGTGTCGACTCATACTGAAGTTGAATCCTTTTTATGATTCGTTGCTTAAGTATGTGTCGATGCAAAGCTCTTTGTGTCGACTCATAACAGTGTTTTATGTGTAAAACACATTCTTAACTCTTTTTAAACATGTTATACTGTATTTTTACAATGCACACATATAGGTAAAGCATTTTCAACATTCATTGATTATTTCACACATATTTGCTATCATTCAAAACTAATTATATGAAGGGGTTGCTCACATATACAACACATATTAAAATATACAGTTTACAATAACAAAGTCCATGATTCTTGACCTGCTTGGGGAGATCAGCTCAGTATAATTTAAGGGAAACAAGTTTTCAAATCTTTACGCTTTGCATGTATACGATTACATTCTCTCAGCTTTAGAATTATGTCCAATATATAACCATTGCCAGCTTATTTTATGAACATGTTACTTAATATTTAACCAATACGTCTAAACTTTAACTTTGACAACAATTTATCCGTACCTTTTTTTATTTGCAAATGTACAGTCTACACCAAAAAAATATTACATTTATACTATTAAAATGTTACATTGCAATCCAAACGTAGGGCTAAGTATCCAAACGAAAATGACTGCACTCTTTTGGCTGGTATTTTTTATACTTTCCTCCTAAATAACAGTGACTATCATCAACACATCCTACTTGCTACATAACTACAGCATGGCTTCGTTATCTGTCCTACTGCAAAATAACACTTCAATGCATCTTTTCATGGCTCTTTATTACTTACTAGGTACAACAATGTTCCTTGGTGATTGTTTTCACACTACAAAAAAGAAGCTTATTTGCCACGTGAAAATCACGTGGCAAACATCAAAATCACGTGGCAAAACAAAAATAGCGACGTGGAGACATATGTCGCTGGGGAGCCAGTGGCAAGCCAGTAGCGACGTGATTCCCATGTCACAAAGTTGTGACGTGGTATGCACGTCGCAAATGTTTTGTTTAGGGAATATACAATCTGACATACAACAGCTTTAGTTGCGACGTGAGAATCATTTCACTAATTTGTGACATGATTCCCACGTCGCTACAGGTGACGTTTTTATTTTTTAAAAAAATTGTTTAGTAATTATTTTTTATATTAATTAATTTATGTAATAAAATTTAAATAATAAAATTTATATAATAAAATTTAAATAATAAAATTTATATAATAAAATTTAAATAATAAAATTTATATAATAAAATTTATATATTAAAATTATTAGAATAATAGTATTTTATTATATATTCGAATAATAGAATTTTATAAAATAAAGTCATATAATAAAATGTTATATAATTTAATAATTTAAAATGATAAAAATAAATATCTTACATAAATGCAAATTTAAAAACGAAATAAATAAAATGTTTTCACGGGGCATCTTCACCCGGATAATTATCAAGATCAAAATCATCAATTCCGTCATCATCCGGCTGTGTATCATGAACATTTTGATTTCCACCACCTTGCATAAACTGTCTCATCTGCTCCTCCATATCAGATTGCCTCTTCTGCATGATCTCTAACTGCTGCTCCTGCTCTTGCCTCATTGTCGTCATTTGGGCCTCCATTTCGCGTCTCACTTCACTTGCCGCCAATTGTCTTACTGTTTCAAGTTGATCATGTGTCAGATTCGGTTGACGTGACCCTCCCTCTCCATCTCTAAGTCGTTGAAACAGATTACGATCACCAACTCTCAAGCCGGCGGCCAAATTTCCTCCCGCAAAAAAGCAACCATTAGGCCCTTTTCCATTAACAACCTCATTCCAAATATAGAAATCAACATCACCATTAAGCGGCTCCCCTTCTGCTGGCCTATATTGAGGATTGTGTTCCAGAAAACGTGCAAGCAATGTCTGATAATCATCCTCCACATACATTAAATAATAAAATTAAAAAAAAATTACATATATATATATATATATATATATATATATATATATATATATATATATATATATATATATATATATTAAATTTATGTTAAATTAAAACATTTATATATTAAATTATACTAAATTCAAATATATTAAAAATTTGTCACGTGATTTTCACAAATCAACTTATGAATTGCCACGTGATTTTCACGTGGGAATGTATCAGTTGCCACATGAAAATTATTCACGTGGCAATTTATCAGTTGCCACATGATAATCACGCCACAACTTATAGATTGCCACGTGAAAATAACGTCACTATTTTTGTTATTAACTTAAAAAAAACATAAATTAAATTACTTACAAAAGCTCTCTTTGTGCGCTCGTCGACAAAACCTCCCGATTTCTTTGTCCGAGTCCTCGTAATCAACTCAATGATCAATGGTGGTCTCCCTATCTCCTTAGTCTAAACAATAAAGTAAAAAATATTATGAATAAAAATATATATAACTTAAAAAATTTGTAATATTTACCATCCGTCGGACATGCTCTGCAGTGCTAATACTTCCAACAGTATTGACACATCCCCCCTTTTCGGATGCCCTCATCTTCTTAAAATTTTCAGATTTGGCCTTGAATTCTGGCGAACCCCAATATGTACGAAGTTCGCCAAAAACCTCTACGCCTATCCAGTTAGGACGGATACCATGCAGCTCATAATTCTCCCTAACCCTCCGCATTATATCAGAAAATCTTCTAGAAGTTCTGCTATAATAGATTTTTTCAATAATTTTCTCATTCAACGGATCCCACACACATTTTTCC